TTAGCCTTCATTTGTTTCCCTCAGAGCTGCTGCTTTACCACTTGAGCCACAACTCCACTTCTCTGGCTTTTTGTTGGCTAATTGGAGATGAGTCTCATAGACTTTCCTGCCTGGGCTGGCTTTGAATCTCGATCCTCAGACCTCAACTTCCTAAGTAACTAGGATTACCGGTGTGAGCTATGAGTGCCTGGCTTCCATTTGCTGTTAGATAAGGGCTCATGCTTTTTGCCTCGGATAGTGATCCCCTATTTCTATTTCCCAAGTAGGTGAGATTACAGGCATGAACCCCTATGCTTGACTTGATATGAATTGTAATATAGGTTTGGATTTGCCTCTAGAAAGGAAACAAAAAATAAAGTGCATGACTGTCACGCTGAGTTGGAACTTGGAGGGACTGAAATAAAATGGAAAAGAGAGGAAGGGACTATAACAAGCCATTACTCTTACTATTCCTGCTTCGGAAAATTATGTAAAAGTGAAGCTTGGCCCTAATAGAATGAGAGCTTTCCTAAATGCCTAGATTCTTAGTAGATTTATATTTCTTCTTTCATGCTTCTGTAGCTTGGCTTCTAAAATGGACACTTTAGTGAGAAGAAAAATATCTTAACATACCAAAAACTACAATGGAGACAATAATTATATTTTACTTTCTTTGGACTAGCTTTAAATTGCATGGAAAAAAAGACAAAAATCTAGAAAAGTTGTAAAGAAATACAATTTAAAGTATATTTTCTGTTAATATTCCCTGCTTTCCCAACCATGCTGTGCTTACATAAGATCAAACATACACTGACGATGAACTTGCATCATAAACATTATTGTGGTTGAGCTGGAGGCATGGCTCACGATGTAGCACACGAGGCACTGAGTTCAAATTCCAACATGGCTCTCCACCCCAGTTTTCTTCCTATGCCCCATAAATGAGACAAACACTGAACAGGGTAGCTGAGAGAGTATAATGTAAGACTTTTTTTGGACATAATTTCAGTCTCACAAAGGAAGGAAAGAGAAGGGAGAAATACTTCTAAGCTATTGATCATACAATTTTGCTTATAGAGATGTATACAAAGAAACAAGCTTGTAGATAGGATTTCTAAAAATGAATAGATAAAGGAAAATAGAGAAAAAAGTTAACCAATAATGTTATGGATATGACAACATATAACAGGAAGGAAGGAAATACTTCCTGTTGGGAGACCTTTGAAGATGATTTCTTACAGGGAAAAAAATGTAAGGTAAAGGCATGCTGTATAAAAATGGTACAGAATGGTCTGCTCCATTGTACCTCCCACCTTTAGTGTGATGGCAGCTCAGACCAGTGGTCTCCATCATCAAAGAATGACTTCTTTTGGTCATGGGATTTGACCTCTGGGCCTGGGTGCTGTTCCTCAGCTCTCCAGCTCAAGGCTAGCTCTCTACCACTTGAGCCACAGTGCCACTTCTGGTTTTCAGGCCCTAACTGGAGATAATCTGGTTTTCAGGCCTTAATTGGGACATAAGAGTTTCACGGACTTTCCTGCCCAGCTGGCTTTGATCCATGATACTTAGAACTCAGCCTTCTGAGTAGCTAGGATTACAGGCATGAACCATTGGCACCCAGCAAAGAATGACATTTTTAATGGTCATATTTGAGATTTCAGAGTATTTCCTCTCCTAGGGATGATTTTCACTACATAATTTAAGAAACAGTTTTCTAGCTGGGTGCCGGTGGCTCACGCCTGTAATCCTGGCTACTCAGGAGGCTGAGATCTGAGGATGACAGTTCAAAGCCAGCCCAGGCAAGGAAAGTCCAAGAGACTCTCATCTCCAATAAACCACTAGAAAACCAGAAGTGGCGCTGTGGCTCAAGTGGTAGAGCACTCTCCTTGAGCTGAAGAGTTCAGGGACAGCATCCAAGCCCAGAGTTCAAGCCCCATGACCAACCAAAAAAAAAAAAAAAAAAGGAAGAAAAGAAAAGAGTTTTCTATAAACCATCAATAACTCATTGTCTTATCAATTTTAGAGAAGAATTGATTTGATTGCTTATGAACTTATCACTAGAACATTCTTTGTAAGAGGAAACAAAAGTTTACATTTTACTTTTTCTATAGTTTTCCCATGCATGCTTATTTTATGGCTTCAATGCTGGGCCTGTTATTTTTAGAAGAAAGTTAGTTTAAAAGCACACCACAGTTTGAATTGAAAATATTACCATAGCAACCCACAGGTGATTATTTACCAGCTCTGTCACTAGGAACATACCTATGAAAGCTTAGCAATTTATCTTTCAGACATAATAGAAGATTTATTTGATATATGTTGAGAGGACTTGAAAATAATCTTTGGATGTTTCTGAAACCATCACTTCAATGAAATACCCATTAGTCGCTTTTTAAAATTTACATTATTTTCTCGGAGAAGTTGGCAAGGACACACCGACCTGGCAAATTGATTTTTCTGAGGCTTTTAAATATGCCATTATGTCCACTGAACAAATGAAACAGTAAATAATTTTTGTTTCCTCCTTGGGCAAGCACACTCTGTAAAATGATTTATTTCTTGAGTGTATGATAAGCCTCCAAAGGGAGTGGTGGTCAACTGGTGAGAATGTAAAAGACAAATCTAGACTTTTGGAAACTTTCCCAATAATTTCCTTTTGCATTTGTTTGTGTATTCAATAATCAAGGCAGAACATTTGCTGAGACTGCAGGTGCAATGTCAGATGCTACAGAATATGATGATGAGAAAAGTCTTGGTCTACTGTATTATCTCTTCTTCCTAACCTTCATGCTATAACATGTTTTTGTTCTTCCACATCTCAATCTTCTCAAAATCCACTTATGTAGCATTTCTGACAGCCATTTTCATCAAACCATGTTAGAGAAATGTATTTCTTGATCAAGGGTTTTGTTAAGGCCAGGCATGATAGTACATGCCTATAATCCCAGCTATGCAGAAGGAATATGTTTGAGTCTAGCCTAAGAAAAAGTTAGGGAGACTCTATCTCAATAAACAAGTTGAACATGGTGGTATGTATCTGTAATTACAGTTATACATGACACAAGGGTAGAATCAATTGTGGTTCAAGACCAGTCTAAGGTGAACAGTATAAGATCTGAGGAATAAAGCATAAAAGATGTGAGGGTATGGCTCAAACAGTCCACTGCTTAGGTGTGAGGCACTGGGTTCAAATCCCAGTCCCACACTGTTTATTCTCATTGCTGACACCTTTGCCACCAATAATACTGATGATAATTAATAGCTACTACTTTAGAACCACTCACTGATGCACTTTACACCTCACTAAAGCCATGAAAAGTGAAAAATTCATCATTTCATTCTAATCACAATTTCCTACTTACAGCATGTATGTGCCTGGGGAGCACAGTACAGCTTCTCTCTTCTTTGAATCAGATCAGACCCTGTGTCCTCTTTTCATTTTCCACTTCCTTTGTTGTACGGCAAAGCAGCTGCTGAAGACTTAGCTTTGCAAAGACATGCCATGCACTGGGAGCCGTCTTGAGCTAATGGTTCACGTGATGATTGACAGGGGTTCAGTATCATTGTTTTTTCTCTTGAAAGTATCACATATCTTGCCATGTGAATTTGGTGCCCAAACACATATCTGTGTACAATTTTGGGAACACTGGCTCTAAGTGAAAACATGTCCTCTTCAACTTTGCCTTTCTGTATTTCTCATTTGATACACAGCATCCTATGTTTTGGACCCAAACTAACTACCCACACAGGTCATGTGCTAAAGCAGTGCCTGAGCCACGGAGTCTCAGAAGCATGCTTACACATATGCTGGCACTGAAATGAATGTATCACCTTTTACATAGAAAGTGCTCAACAGTAACTTGTTGAAGGAGTGGATTTTGCAATTTGTAACTTTCTCTGTGGCAATTGAAATGTTCCTTATCATTCTCTATTCAAATTTAAGTGTGTGTGTGTGTGTGTGTGTGTGTGTGTGTGTGTGTGTGTGTGTGTGTGTGTGTGTGTGTGTGTGTGTGGTGATGGTGCTAGGGATGAAATCAAGAACCATGTGCATGCTAAATGCATGTTCTACCTCTCCCACCCTAAACGTGCTTTTGGAACAGAGTGGATAGTTGGTAAGCGATGCACCCTAATGGACGGGGTATAGAAAAATCACTCTTCAAAGAAGTAAGTTATGATGATTTTGAAGGGAAGCCTTATCTTAGTACTTGTAGTTTGCTTACTCTTTAGTGGTGAGTTATTGTCTGCAAATTACTAAATTCAAGTAGAGAAACAAATTGAGTTACTGAGAAAAGTGAAATGGTAGTGTGGGATAGATGGTCCAACTTGCTGTTTCTCCATGCCATTGGTGCTATATCCAATTCTACCATTCATGAGAATACCGATGGTAAAGGAAAGAGAACAAGGGCTGAAAATCATACTCAGAAAAATAGTGCCTAGGAGTAAAGGACGTTGTTTTCCAAAAATTTGTATATTCTTCTTCAAAGAGCTATCTGAGAATGTACGAAATGATTCGTATATATGTGCCTGTGTTTGTTTATATTTTCTGGTTCTTTTGAAGGCTAAGGAGATGGACTTTACAGTTCATGCTGCCCCCCTCCCCCCCAAAAAATCAAATATCCTTCCAATTAATCCATTGGATTTAGGTCTAATTTCATTCAAGAATGAAAGTAAAAAAGAAGAAAGGGAGGAAATGAAGGAAAGAATAGAAGGAAGGGAAGAAGGGAGGAAGGGAGAAAGGATAAAGGAAGGAAAGATGGATGAGGAAAGGAATGAATGTGTGTTGATTTTTCCCCATTTAAAATTAAAGTGACTGAAATCAAACAGGAAAATGGGTTTGAGAATACAGTTAATGGGCATGCCTGTTGCCATGATTTTTTGCTCTCATTGATGTCTCTTCTGTCTGATTTGAATTTCAGCCCGAGCACTAGAGAGAAAGGACCTCAAGTGTCAATTACTCCACTTTCACACTAAACTAACTAGAAATCAGAAAGGAAGTACTGGATGAGAAAGCCCTTCATTACCTGCTGTTTCTCTGTCAGCTGAGGTGAGCTCTCCATTAATCCCATTCTCTTTGGTATCTGAATAGGTGTCCTGTGACCTGGGTCCTCCAAAGGCTCCCTCCTCATCCTCTTGGTATGGGAATCCATTGGCATTTCGGACAAGTCCTTCCCCTGCCACACCTTGTTCCTTCATCTCTGGTGGATGTGGGTGTGTTGATGCTGATGCTTCCGTTAGTTGGGCTGAGGTCCAATGAGATGCCTTCGCTTCATCTTTCCGTTCATCTGCCATTCTTCAAAGTCCTGTGACTTCTTCTACAATTGGAAGAAGAAAAAAATAATGACCATCACTGTGGGCAATGTTCTCATCTGATATTGGATAGGGAAAATCTGAAGCTGATTCAGTGGTTTGTAGCGAGATGTGCAATAACTTCCTAAAATATCAAGGACCAGCCATTGTTGACTCTTTGGTTTTGACAGATCAGTTCAGGAATACTTTTTTTTTTAACATATCATTACCAACAAATAAAATCTGATGCCTAATATTTAAGGGCACATCTTCACCTTCATGGACATGCAGTCTTTAATGCTGACCATGAGGTAGAGTCAAAGAATGTCTCAGCCTAGAAGAAACATGCAGCATGAGAAAACTGGGAAGAAAAAGGTTGGGAGAGTAATAGAAAAAATGAAATATTAGATTATTAAAGATATTCCCAACTGTTCTCCCAGCAACATAACTGTCAGAAAAATATAAAAAATGGTAACCTTTCTGTTTCAAACATGTTCATATATATATATATATATATATATATATATATATATATACACACACACACACACACACACACACACACACACACACATATACATATATATATACTTTTCCTAATGATGTCAATTAAAACAATTTGATTTTATTTTCAACAAATTTTCTTAACCTTGTTTATAGATGTAGAGGGAACAACATTTTATTAATATAAATGTTATAGAGGAAGGGGATAGAAATATGGCATTCAGCACATTTCTACACAATAGCATTAACTCCTTGCTGCAGTCAAGTAAAACCTGAAGTAGTTAAATGATTGACTACATGAAGAAGCAGTAAATCACAGCACAAGAGGAATTCTCTTGGGGGAGGATTCTATTAATGTTAAGTGAATGGCAATAGCAGGTATCTTATAACCTTCTCTTTTTTTTGTCATTTGTGGGGCTTGAACTCTGGGCCTGGGCACTGTCCCTCAGTTCTTCAGCTAACCTTCTCTTACATGCAGATGTTACTATCGTATTAACTTGTAACTGACTAGAGACAATTCACCACTCAGAGAAGAAAGCTGGTGCCTGTGATATAACCTCATTCATGGCCTCTGACCTCACAGTAGACGTGACAACAAAGGCAATGCAATGACTTTCTATTGGCAACTAAGAACAGATTCTTTTTTAAAAAGATAACCAACTAAAGCAAAGAACTCCAAATTAGCAAATAAATATTGTGTTGTCAAATCTACTTTTAACTACCAAGTTACGTGTAGAGACATCACTGATAAGCTGGAATATCATGGAAGCTAGTTTCCCTACCATTCCTTGAGAATCACCTGCAGTTCAATGTTGCCCTCAGCTCTCTCTGCATTCTATTCATGCCAAGAAGAGTTAGACACATTCATTCATTTAAACCAATTCAATTTAAAGCAAGCTGCTACCAAATCATTTCCCAAACAGGTTCTAATTATCTTCCCTAAGAACATAAGAAACTAGATGTAAACAGTTTAGATTTTACAACAGTGATTGCAGAGCTTGTGTATAAATTAGTGAGAATTCCTGCAACACCAACCACATATAAAGAACTGTACAAGGGGCTGGGAAGGTGGCTCAGTGGTAGAGCGCTTGCCTTGCATGCCTGAGGCCCTGGGTTCGATTCCTCAGCACCACATAAGCAAAAAGAAAAAAGCTGGAAGTGGCGCTGTGGCTCAAGTGGTAGACTGCTAGCCTTGAGCTGAAGAACTGAGGGACAGCACCTAGGCCCAGAGTTCAGGCCCCACGACCGGACCCAAAAAAACAAACAAACAAAAAAAGAACTGTACAAGCCCAAGAGTTTTCATATTTGAAAAATGAGGATAATAATATCTATAAGAGGCAACCAAAAAGATGCTTTTGCTGAGTGCAGTGAATTAACTAGAAGTCCCCCAACTTTGTTTCTGAGCCCTTTGCTCTATGCCATTCTATGCTGCGCTCCCTTTGCAGATCACCATGGACTCTAGGAAAGAGAAAATCATTGATAAGCATCTCATGTGGAAGGCAAACTGCCCCTCAAATAGGGAAAGTCTTCTTATTTAAAAGAAAACAGCCCCAAACTCAAGAGACAATTTTGTTTCTGTTCTTCTCCAGAAGGCCTCTAAGGACAACAACTGAACTCATGGTCAATCAGTCCCTGCATGTGACTTGGATTGTTTCAAATATGCATAGTTTTCTCAACCTTACCTCTAATTTCCCCTATTTAACATAATGTCTGTGTCTTGGAAGACTGTTGAAGATGCACTAAGTGCTGTCTTCTCCTGGCTACCAGGCAACACATCCATCCTCTGCCTTTCAACATGTCTCTTTGTTTTGCGCATATAGTGGCTAGAGATAATTTGAGACTCCTGAATTTTGGGCCTCAGGTCTAAAAACCTGGCTCCGTACCTAATTTTATACTTGCTCTATTTCTTAGTTTAATTTGCATATAAAACTTACCAAATCTTTTCTAAAATTAGGTAAGATACAAGCAATAAAGAAAATTGTACTTACTGACTTACAGCACTTTCATTTAGGGCACGGATTTTTTAAAATAGAAAATTACATACATTTAGCATACAATAGCTTGTATATAATTCAGTACATGAGGCAAATCAGATACAAACTAAACTGGTATCTTTTCCACATAAAATGGATTAGAATCATTTCCATACAAAATGTTTTATAAAATATAAATAATTTAGACCTTTTATAAGTAATATAGATTGACACACTCACAGAAAAATGATTTTCTAAAATACTATTTTGCAGGTTCTTTTAAAAAAGATGTCACTTATGTCCATCTTCTTTAGAATAATACTCGTTTAGCTAAATGTCCAAGAAAATGTTGTTAGCAAATGATACCTTTATGATGATAAAAGACTTACACTGGAGCTAGCCAAATAATATACTTTTCTTGGTTATAAAACCACATGTGTTCAGTAAACTGTTTTTTCAAGTATTTTTTTCTGGATCTCCATCTATCATTGGATTGCCCAAATATTGAACATGAAAATGAGTTTGATATACTTTGACCATTTCTGTACTTTTTTAGAGCAAGGAACAAAAAGACATATTAGGATATCAAAAGTAGTTACTGAGCATACATGACCTCCAGAATTGCAGAAACAAAAAAATAAGGTCTTTCAAATCCCCTCTACTATTTAAAGGAAGAGTAAGAAAAAATACCCAGAAAAAATATCATCAATGATTCTGCATCTCTCTGGAATATTGAGGAATCAATTTTCTCTAAGCAAATCTAATACTGAGGATGGAAGGCATATTTAACTAAAAAGAAGATCTTTCCTAATTTCGTATCTATTTTAGAGCATTTCATATCTTTCTTTAAAAGTCTAAAACCTGTTTATTCAAAAGTAAGATGTACACAACTAAAACATGATAGGAATATACAAAACTATCAAAGCATTTCAACCATAAGTTGGGTTTGAAATATTTGTTGGATGTTGAATGAATTAATCATCAACTCTTTGCCTCAAGGCAAAAACAGATTCTGTTAGCCAACACTATCTCCATAAAAAGCTATTGTTACATAAACTTAGAAATGTCTTTAAGATAAACTATTTCATTTTATTTTCTCAAACATGGTTCTAAAATTATGAGACTGAAATGCTCATTGATTGGTCACTCATTCCATCATATTGAAAAGTTTTGAATTAATTATTTTCTGACACATATATAAAATTGAAATTTCTAAGTGTGAAGCTTGCAAATTAGTATTGCAACAGGTAACTATAAAGTTAGAAGGACAGCTTTGAGCCAAGTCTACTACCTAAGACTTCAGAAAAGAGCGGAAGTGAGACAAATGCATGGAAGATTTAGTGTCGTATAGTGACTGAAATCAAGATGAAGACAATTGTGTTGATGGGCCACGTGGCCATTCTCACAAATAGAAGCTGAGACTTTCATGCCTTTCTCGAGAATATTTATGATGAGTTGTTGGATTCAACCATAAGACAGACTGTTTTTATTTAAGGTAGTTCTCAGTTGTATCTCCTTCCACTTAGAAGAGGCAGAAACATCTTAAATGAATGTTTAAATTACCCATTGTTTATGGCAAAACAAAAAAAGAAACCTTCATGTTGTGAAAGCAATGACTAGCTGCTGGTCTTCAAATTGCCTGCAGCAAGCTTATTTTAGATTATTCTTTAGCATTCACTAGTGATTTATGACAAAAGTATACTTGCTCAAATGTATTTGGCTGGTAGATCAAGATCGGGATGAATGTGGAATATCTGCACATAAATTGTCATGGATGATACTTATCACTAGGAAACATTTAATACTGTCACAAGTTGGCCCCCCAAAAGCAATGAAGGCCTAGGAAGAATAAAGTAAAAATACACTGCATGTCAGATAGGCAAGTCTCCATTTTTATAATGCTATCGGTGCAGACAGTTCTAGAATGTTTTCTGGGACATGTTTTGCTCTGTCATCATATAATGTGCCAGTGCAATTCAAAACTGGACTTATAATTTTGTGTTCATACATATCCAGGGGGAAGAAAAGAATAAAACACAATCATAAAGTACAATTAAGCATATGAACATTCTTTCTCCCTTCCACATAGGTTCAATTATTGCCTCTTATTATTGCTATGTTTATCAGTGACCCACAAGGGAAATTTATTTTGGTCCCTAAGAGTAACGACATTTTATGAAGAATCCATACTTTTGCTTTTAAATGTTGATGAGTTATAAGCTTAAATATTTACTGATAAACTGCCTACAGCCTAATATTCCTTCTTTATTTTCTACACAAAACTGAGGGAAATGCTCATGGTGACATGAAAAAGTTAAACAGAAAATCCAAATGTTAGTTTCATATTTTCTCTGTCCACTCTCCTCTTCTTGGCTCCAAGGCTAATTGTAAAGTAAAATACTTTTGATTTTATAAGCTGACTCATTCTGTATCACATGCCATGGCTAATTCACAATTAGTACAAGGAAAATTCACTTTTGTTCAGATGTGACAGCAGGTGAAACATACAAGTAGGCTGTTTGTGGATAAAAGTCTTCACACAATAAGAC